GCCAGCCCTTTTGTGTTGTGGGAATTTTGTGTGTATATTCCCTTTACAAAAGGCTGATGGTGGTAGCATAAGAGCGTGTTACCTGAGAGAAAACATGGACCTTCACTGGACCAGCTGCAGTTCATTTGCTTACCATGAGAACCGAAAGGACCAAATAGCAAAATATGGTCAGTTTGGTCAGTTTACTCCTTTAGCTTATAAACTTATCTACTCCTTTAGTTTATAAACTTCTTTATCTGCTCACTATGACTTGAGATTTTCCTTATGCAGGACAAATTTCTGTGTTTCTTACAGATGATGCTTTGCCCCAAATTTTTCTCACAGGTCTCAGTCCAGGTTCTTTAACTATTTTATTGTGATCCTGCCACCTTTGAATTAGTAGCCTGTGATTTTCTAACCCAGATCCTGCCAATATTCTCTGTACCTCCTGTAGCGCAGTCCTGCAGGCCCTGACAGCCTGTAACTAATTATCTCTGTTCACATGGTGAGCCAAAGAAAACTGCAGGGACTGTCTGATAACGAGTTGCAGAGAGGAAAAGCAAAAGTCAAAACGAAACTGAGGTAGAATGGGATTCACAGACCTGAGTGAAACTGAGGGAGGACAGAGAGGCAGGGTGGATGGCAGGGCTGGGCTGTGTGTGGCCACACAGTGCCTCCTGCAGCCTGGTCTGAGCACTGGGGCTGGGTCCACGTTGGCAGCGTGGCATGGGAAGGATGTCTGCTGAGGAAGGAGTGTGGAGAGCATGGAGACACAGCTCATGCACAGCATGAGGAGTTGGCTGGTGACAATAAACCTTTATGGGACCCTCAAAATGAGAGTCATACGTGAATGAGCTTTCGTTGAGTCTGTGCTGGCTTGATTGAACTCTCACTTCTCACCTTGGTCAATACCTATTGGCTCCACAATGCTGCGCCCACCTAAGGATCTGCTTGCCAGGCTGCCTTCTCCCACTGCCAGCACAATATCTGTGCTGTGCTCACATTTCCTGAGTGAATTTGCATCAGTGGCAGGAGGATCTGGGCAAGCATTTCCTGGAGTTGGACACAAGACCTGAGATCTGAGGCAGGAGGAGACCTGCACATAGCAGAGAGAAGATGTGAACAGGATTGAAAGGATCTGTATTTGAAGGAAGCTGGTGACATGGAGAATAAAGGGGCAATTGGAGAACAAAAAGGAACAGATGACAAAACATCCAAGATCTTGTGCAGGGCCAGGAGTTGTACTTGATCTTTGTGGGTCCCCTTCCAACTCAGAGTGTTCTAAGGTTCTGTATATGAGTTGCCATGAAACCCTGACCCAGGCACAGATGACAGAACCTGCATAAAGCTTCTGCCTGTATGAGTAAAACTGACAATTGTTTGGGCAAAGTGTTCCACCATGAGGAGTTTATTTCAGTAAATACTTCATGTCACGCACTTTAACGCAGTTTTAGGACATTGCAGCCCAATGTACTGTATAGTCAAACTGTGGCCCTCACTTGTGAAAGGAGCCAGATTGCTTGCCCATAGCATGACATGGACTTTCTGGCCAAAGCTGACCCTGTTCCCCTCTCCATTACTGACACCACAGCAGTTTTCCTCTTGGTTCAAAGGGATTGTACTGGCCATCAATATCTGCCTTATCAGGCTGCTCTTACCTGTACGAGGTGGAAAGTAGGGTGCTGCCATTGTTACATATCATAATAACTGTTCTGTTGAGGTGAATTTTGTGGTGTCTCTGGCTTCCAAAGCATTTTGGGTTACAGTTGGGACCCATTATGGCCCCAACTGGTGTTTTTGCAGACTTGGGAGTGTGGCCCTCCCCAGCCATCCTTTAGAGGGCACTGACTGACATTTTGTGGTTCCACTGTTGGCTGAACATACCCAGGGACTGGTTGGCACTGAGAAGAGAAGGACCATTCCCTGTTCTTGCTCCCTTCTTCCCTTGTCCTCAGGGCTCTCTCCTGTTCTCCAGCCCATGAAATCCTGACCACTTCCCTCTTAAGGGCCAGTTGGTTGTGTGGTTGGATTTTGTTTTTTGCAGTGAGTTAGTTTGGGATGTTTTAGTGACTTAGATCTATTCCCAGAGTCAGAGCTGATACAAGATAGCAGCAGGGTGTGTGGCCCTGGGACAAAGGGAGTCTGTCCCTGTGCTGATAAAATGCTAACTGGCCTTATGGACTCCTGTGGAACTATGTCGTTTGCAGCACAGTTCTGGAGGAATAATTAACATTAATCTTTTGGTCACTCTGTTTTGCCCCCAAAAATGGGGAGAGTAGAAGCAAAGGAGAAAGATTAAAGGGCTGAGTGTTGGTGAAAGGACTGGAGAGATGATGTGTCAAGAGGGACTTGAGGTCCTGGGGCTGGGAAGCGGATTTCAATGACTGCCCAGAGGAGGGGGAGCAGACCCTCCAGAGCAAGGAGTATTTCACCAAGAGCTATAAGAGGTGCCTGGGGCAGGAATAAATGTCTAACATGTTTGGTGTGTGTCCTCTTTCGCCTCACAGAAGGGCAGGGCCCAACTGGTGTGGCAAACAGGTGGTGGGTCTCTGGCTAAGCACCGTGGTCTCTCTGAAGACCCAAATTCCCATCCCACTGCTGCCAAGTTATCAGTGTTAGATAAAACATTCTTAGTTTTTTTTGTTCTGTAAGGTCATCAGTTTAGACCCCTAGGGCTATCTCCATCTCTCTTTCCAGGTTTGCATCTTTCCCCTTGCGCTTCATATGAATCTGCAAGAAAGAAAGTGAGCAGAGGAAGAAGAGCTCTGGGCTGGAGGTGGAGCAAGAGCTCTCCTACCAACTAAGATAACCACAAAGCCAAAGTGCTCATCTGGAGGTGGTCCTTGGCTGGGGCTGTTCTTCTCCCAGCTGAGAGCGACTCTGCTCCCCCTGGCAAGGGAGTCAAACCTGTCCAGTCACCTGCAGCCCCAAGGGACAGGTAAAAAAATGCCAGGTAAAGCAAAAGTTAACAAATTATGTAACACTGAACAAATTCCTTATCTTTCCTAGGAAAGATGACACTTTGACACTGGGGAGCTGAAGCAAACAGACTTACTCTCAAGCATGTGTTGGACTAGGACTGCTTTAGTCCCAGTCATCCCAGCAGAGGAGCAGAGCAAAAGCACTGGATGCTGTAGCCTGTGGCACATGCTGCTTGCTTGTGGGTGGCTTAGAGGCATCTGAATGTTTTGGTGCTTTTCTGCTTCTAGAAATGTGCTCTGAGCATCCATACCTCAGTGTCCATCCATAACTTGCATGCACTGCCCAGCTTATGGGCGCTCTGGTAAGAAATCCCAAACCCTTAGTTGTGATGGTATGTTGTTCCCATGCAAGCTCACTGGGGAGCCTCCCAATAACTGCTTGGTGAGGGCTTCCTTCCTCAGGCTGACATGTTTGGTAGATGTCGTAAGAGAGCCAGACATGGGTGACTGGGCCCAGAGAAATGAATTACCAGCAGTCTATTCCAACACCAGCCTTGCTTAGCCTTGGCCAGAACTGGGTGCCTGCAGGTGTGATGTGGTGCAGCATGAGCTCTGTTCCACACTGAGCCAGGGGGCTGGGAGGAGAAGAGTAGGGCAAAGCATGTCATCAGGGCTGTTTGTAACTCATCCCAAAGGGGACAGGAAGAAAGGGAGCATGGAAGTGATTACATCTAGCCCAGCACTACAGACTAAACTCAAAATAAGAGCTTTAAAAACATCTCTGACACTCTCTTTGCTTGGTCTTCATAGTCTGGGAAGCGTCCTGAGTTGCTCTGAGGCAAACCCTTCCATCCTGGTTCCCATTACACTCACATGCAGCCTTGCCCCAGATCTGCACTTGCTCTGTCTGTACAAGTGACAGACCCCCCCTGAACAAGCACAGAATGTTAGCTGTCAGCCGCTGAGGATGTGGCCTACGGACAAGCAATATGCTAAACGCTAAACGTGTCTGCTTAAAGTGAAAGGCGAACCATTAAATGGCCAGTGATTCTTAACTGTGGTAGCATGAGTGCAGTTAAACCCAAAGAGAGAGGAAAATTAAATGGAAACAGCTACTAAAAATGTCATTGCAAAAGCAATTCAAAGAAATATACAAAGAAAAAGGAATTGTCTTTTCATGCGCTGCAAACTGCCGGTTTTTAAAAGCATCAGGAAACAAGCTGTTGAGTGGTGAGATGGATAAAACCAGGCTTCCAACCTCTGCTGAGCTGCCTGGCCCATGAAATCTCACTGCCAGCAATACTGCTGCTGTGCCAGAGGTGGTGGCATGGCCACCCCAGCTGTGCCTACGTGTTGAAGGGTGGCCCGTGCATGTGCTGAGTGGCACGTCATTTGAAACCAAACCCAGCTCCTACAAGGTGAGCTCGGCCTCCCTTCTGTGGACAGGGCTGCTGATGTGGGTCTCTCTTCTCTGCCCAGCCACCAATTTTCAGTAAATTTATCAGAACTCCAGTGTATCTGGGGCATCTTGGCCAAATTTGATCAAGGTTACCCTAGGGATACTGAGGACAAGAACAGGCAGTCAGGCCCCAGGATTATACAAGCCTCTTGCCTTTATGAAATGCAGATTAAAAAGCACTCAGAAAAGTGGTAAATGGCTCTGGCTGTTGCAGGGTGTCAGAGACTGAGCTGGGTGATGCACTTTGTGGCACAGAGGCACTCAACACTTTTGCCAAACATGACACTGAATTGGGCATGCAGCACTGGAGGGGATCCAGTCAGCACAGGGACAGCCATCCCAGTGCAGATCTTCACTGGGTGGGAATCTGCTGCTGCCGTCTTCCCCTCCTCTCAGCCTGGGTTATGCCTATTGCAAGGTGTAAAGGTGTTCCACGGGTCAAATGCCCCAGTGCTGAGAGCAGGATGCTCAGGTACTTCAGTGGTCTTGAGTGAGAAAGTCTTCAGGAACATGCACTTGGATTTGGATAGACAGAAATGCAAAGGCAAACAACAGGGCTTTGATAGTTACAAGAATCTGACTTAAACATGGATATAAACTGGTTTCTTCTAGTTGTTGGTTTGGGGTTTTTTCCCCATATATTTTTCTCCAAAAGAACAAGCCTCTTTCATCCAGCTGCACCTCTCGGCTCTGCTGCTGATGTTTTCATGCTCTCTGCCTGTGGTACATGCTGCATGGGCATGACCAAGCAAGTATCAGTACAGAGCACTGGCAAACTCCCAAGGGATCTGCAGTAAACAGTGAGTACGGAGATCCAAAATCATCTTCCATATCATGTTAGCCAAGAACAAAGCCCAATGGCACTGATGCTAGCTAGCATAGCTGAGCAGGGAGGGATGGGTGAGTTCTGACTCCTCCATGTCTTTTCTGACAGCACTGCTCTGTGGGGCTCATGCCTGGTTTTGTTCAGCAGTCCCTGTGCTCCTTTGTGTTGGAGCCAGCTTTGCATGGCAGCAACACAGCTTCCCTGGAGTGAAAAGGAGGTTAACAACAGCCTCTGCCTCCTGCAACAGTGCCACTGCAGTCATGATACTGGTCTTCAAAAACAAGTTGTCACTCTTTTGGCTGTTGTGCATAAAAGCAATCCCCCTCTCCGTCTTCACAAGAGCTGGCTGGGCAGTTCAGACTTAACAGCTTATTTTCTCCACAGGGGCACAGCCAGGATATTGCCAGATTGTAATTCAAAAACTCCCCAAATCCAGGTGGAAGTAATTGCAAAAATTGCCACACAAGCTAAGGAGAACAGCTCCTTAGGAGCACAGGCTGGAGGCCAACCAGCTAGAAAGCAGAAAGACCTGGGGGTCCTGGTGGGCAACAAGCTGTCGATGAGCCAGCAGTGTCCTTGTGGCCAAGAAGGCCAAAGGTACCCTGGGGTGCATTAGGAAAAGGATTGCCAGCAGGTCAAGGGAAGTGATCCTGCTCTTCTGCTCAGCCCCGGTGAGGCCTCACCTAGGGTGCTGTGGCCAGTAATGTTTTCCAGTTCAAGAAAGAGAAGGAAATACTGGAGAGAGTCCAGTGGAGGGCCATGGATGTGATTCACAGACTCACAGGTTTAGTTAGGGTTGGAAGTGGCCTCTGGAGATCATCTAGTCCAGTCAATTAGGAGTTTGGAGCACCTCACTTATGAGTAAAGGCTGAAGGAGCTGGGACTGTTTAGCCTGGGGAAGCTTGGGGAGACTGAGAGGGGACCTCATCAATGTTTATAAGTATCTGAAGGGAGGATGTCAGGATGATTGAGCCAGGTTCTTCTTGGCGCTGAACAATAGGATGAGAGGCAGAAACTTATGCAAAGGAAGTTCCACTTGAACATGAGGAAGAACTTCTTTACTGTGAGGGTGACAGAGCACTGGAACAGGCTGTCCAGAGATGTTGTGGACTCTCCTTCTTTGGAGAGATTCAAAAGCCACCTGGACACAATCCTGAGTAATGTGCTCTGGGGGATGTCTGAGCTGGAACTAGGTGTTCTCCAGTGGTCCTTTACAATTTTATCCATTCTGTGATTCTGTGAAGTATCCGCAGCTACCCCTGGGCTATGGGAATGTGGAGCTGAAAAACAGGACTGGCTTCCCATGGCTCTTCATTCTCACTTTCTGAATAATCCTGTCTATTTTGAGAGTAGAAACAATCCTGTGTTCTGCTCCAGAAGGATCAACACCAGGAAGGCATGATCATCCCAACATAGACAGCTCTACAGGAAGCTCTGCTGCTAATCAGCTTTGGCTTTTCTGATTTCCTGTATGACTTTATGTGTTTGCCCCACCTTTACTTCTTTGTGATAAATGAAGCCTTCTGCCACTGTAGCCAAATGGTGTGATTTGGGGGCTGGAGCATTGAAATAGAAGTCTTTCTCTTCTGCATTTTGTTACCTTGGAAAGGGGTTTGCCTTTACACTCCACCTGATGTTCAGTTACCTGTACCTGGCACCCATCTCAGCTCTTCAGTTTTCCGGCCTATCCCCTTTCTATCTTTGTTCTTATCACTGGGTCCACATGAAAGCCAGCATTTTTTATAGCCAGGATATACCACAAATTCCCACTGCCAGGGAGTGAACAAGAGCCCTGACATGTATTGCTTGGTTTATGAGAACATGGGGTTGTATGGTGAGAAACTGCAGCAGGCAGGTGTGCAACTCCCTTCCCTGAAGGAAGGAGTTTGCTGTTACCCTAAACAGAGCAAGTCTGAGCAGCCAGCATCCTGTGCTCCTTCCACACTGTCCCCCGGCTGTGCCATGGGGGAAGAAAACATGGTGGAAGATTTTCTGGATATGCTGAGTCCTGGCTAAGACAACAGACTGCCAGCACTTCGTGCAGGCAGGGCACAGATTTGCACCATTTCCGAGCACCTCTGAGCAACCTGCAGAGAGTACTCAATGCCAGCCAAAGGGTCCTGGGGAGAGCTGAACCCAGCTGCCCGTGTGGGTGAAACCCCTCGCTTCCCTCACTGCCAGTGCTTCCTGGTGGTGGGGCACTCTGCAGCCTCCCTTTCCACCCTTGCACTGCTTACACCACATGAATCTGCAAATTGCTTCTCTTCATCCCCCTTTTCCCCTTTGCAAGATGGTCAGAAGAAAAGCCCCACCCAACAATTTCCTGTTCTCTGAGTTACTTTTTTTTTTTTTAGTTTATTGTGTTGTTTTTCACTCAGCCTTCTGCCAGATCCCTAGCTGCTTGCCTGAACAGTTTGAAGCCCCTAGATTGCTGCCCCACTCCCTGCTGGCATAGAGGTTTGTGGCCAGGTTGTGGTTGCAGAACATGAATTACCAGCTCTCAAGAGCCCGGCACAGTTTCCCATGTCCCAGCCCTCCTCCTGCAAGCAGCTACCAGGCAGGTTGTTTTGAGCCACAGCCTACTTTTTAAGTGTTTCCTATTGTTATTGTGGAGATTCTGCCTTACTTTTTCTCAGTCACTGAGGAAATCAGCTTTAAAGACAAACTGGTAGCAGAGAGGTACAAGCTTGGTCTTATTTAGTGCAGAATATGCCATGTCCCATCAAGGGGCTGGAGCACATGCTGCCTCCGTGTGCTGGTCATGAACTGGATTGTGCCATGAATCTGCACCCAGGGATGATTTCCATACTGAACACCAGTAGCTATCACAACTAACATGTCAACAAGGGCATCGCTTGAAAAGAAGCTGTGTCCTGTATTTTTGGCACAGTAACCCTTTCTTTTCCAGAGTGGCAGGCAACCAGCCAGTGCTGTGATGGCCACGCTCTGCTGCGAGTGGGATTATGCTGTTGGAGTCCTGCTGAGAAGTGCAACTGATCTGTATGTCTGCAGCTGTGGTGGGCTGGAGGAGGTGTACTGAGCACTCTGTACTCAATCAACGAGATCAGGTCCTCATGCCTGTGCAGATGACCTTCACATCAGTGGTGGGATGAAGTTTGGCTTGGTAGTTAAACCAGGAGTGAGTATCTTGGCTAAATACAGATGTTAGGGTAGGGACACAGGATTTGAAGCAATCAAGTCAGCAAGTTAGAATAACAGAATAGAATCGAAGAACAGTTTGGATTAGAAGGAACCTTCTCTGGCCATGTCTTCCAATCCCATTGCCATGGTCAGGGACATCTTCAACTGTATCAGGTTTCTCAGAGCCCTATCCAAACTGACCTTGAATGTTTCCAGGGATGGGGCATCCGCTACCTCTCTGGGCAACCTGTTACAGTGTTTCACCACCCTCATCATACAAAAATCCATTCTATTTCAAATTTCATCCCATCTGCTGAGCTTGGCCTGACCCTAAACTAGGTAACACATTACCAGAGCTCCCTAATTGCTGTCCATCAGTTGTAACTGATGTGTTGCTTGTGCCACCAGCAATGTGTGTTAATCTGAAACCCAAAAGAAGGTGGGAACCCATTGCAACCACTTTGGAATACCAGGCTGAGTCTTTGTCCGTGTCTGTGTCTGTCCCATATCATGAGGATCTTGCAATGAAGTGCTCTTATACATCTGTGTCTCCCAACACCTTTGAGAAAATATGCAAGCAATAGAATGCTGCTCAGGCTGTTTCCTTCACTATCTTCTGTGAACACAGTTACACCCTTAATGAAGCAGTCCCAAGAGGAATGAATATATGGTACCCTCTGTTACCAGCTTTGGTGTAAGAGCCAGCCCATGGAGGCTCCTCTGGCTCTCCTGCCATTCTTTAGTCCAATATTGTAGTAGTGGCACAAGGACTTTCTCCCTGCTGTGAACAGGGATTATTGTAGCCAAGCTACATTATACATCATCATCTCAAGTGTCGGGAAACCAGTTAAAAACAATGACCTTCTCTATCTCCGGGCTCTTCCCCTGTGCCTTTTAGGTAGTTGCACCAGGAGAAACTGTGTTTCCTAAAAGAAGAGCCTTGTTCTCCACTGCTGTTTTGACCAGGATCGAGTGTCAGTGGTAGCCTGCCTGCTGTGTCCCTAGGGAGCGCTGTGCTTTGGGCCTTCCCTGCCTGAGCAGGGGGTCAGAGGGCTGCTGGGGATTTTCTGCCGTGCCCTGCCCTCCTATGTCACTCTGAACAGGAGCCAGGAAGAGCTGGCCAGAGGCATTGGTGCCAAGATGCAACTCCCAGGCACTAGTGGTGCTGCTATTTATAATTTCTCCTGCCTGTGCCATAGGATAGCTGTTCTGCTAGGCTAACTGTATTTTTTTTTTACCACTGATATCTCTTGCTTTGTCATTGTTTCCTTTCATAGGAAGCCTTTTTTTTTTTTTTTTTTTTTTTTTTTTTTTTTTTTTTTTTGTGAAATGCCTCACTAATTTCTATAAATAAGAAGGGTGAGGCACATACTGGAGCAACTTAAAATGTCTGCAGTGAAAACCAGTGTCACAGACCAGAGGTTTATGGACTGTGACTCACCACTTCATCCCTCTGAAGAACCATTTCCAGAGATGGCAGTATTTGTCACTTGATGGCTCCTCCTTTATGAGTTGCTCGTGGCCTGATCCGGAGGGTTCTGGCTGCTTACACTGACTTCTGTGGGAATCTTCATGTGCTTTATTGTCACTTTGCTGGAGCAAGGCTGGAGTGCTTGGTGTGTGGGGTGACAGAGCCTTCCAGGTGGACCTGTCTAGTCACTGTCAGTTTCTCTGACAGCAACAAGGATCAAAACATTTCTCTGAAATCCAGTAACAATCCAGGAGGGAATGAGATCCTATCTGCAGGAGCTTGCCTGGAGAGCTGAATGGAAAATGATAGTCCTATGACACCATTTACAGAAGGCTGGTGCAAGAGCTTTATGGCTAATTAACACTTCCTGCCTTCTTTTTTGAAAAACAGAATTATAAATTACAGGTGGGATTGATCCAGAAGATGGGATCCAGAAGCTGGGATCTCAGAAATTGCATATGTTTCTGGAAACATCTGATTCATGTCCAAAATTTGCTGTACATACAGCAATTTGAAATACATACATTTGAAATACACTTCACTGTATTTCAGGACTGAGTGTGGGAAAATGGGCTCAGATTCCCCCAAAGTTCAAGCTGTGTGGGTCTGGACACCTCTCTTGTTTCACCTGTACAACTACTACTTCAGGGGCAGGAACCTGTCTGGAGATGTCCTGAATATGTAAACCAAAGATATTTAATTATTAATAATAATTAATAATGAAAGAATCAGAAAGCAACTTGGTGTTTTTTCAGGTAATAGCTTTCATATCCCTTATATTAATTAACTTTCACAAGTGTACTTTGAGAGCCCTCTCTGAGTGGCTCTTTGCCATTGCCCGTAGCAGGATAGAGAGCTGCTCTGCAGGTGCACGTATGCCCATCAGCAGGCCCATTTGAAATTCCCTCAGATAAGTGAATGACTGCACATCAGAAGTCAGAGCAAGATCTAACTGATGTTTATTTGACAGACTGAATTCAAGCTGCTGGTTACAATACATCCTTAGAGGTCCTTTCTCCCAGCAGCTACAGAATCCTCCCTGAAGACCTGGGCACCTTATTCCTCCAAAACAACAATGTATGGTGGAAAGCCACATTTGGGGTGTGTTACTTAAAAGGGAGTTTAAGAAAGCTGTCTCTCCTAACTTGTCCTGTGATGTCACACATGTAGGTGACCACAGCAATCCGAGCAGCTTATTTTTCTGTGAAAAAGCTGATTGCTCCTTAGGCGAGCTCTCCTTCAGCCTCCACTTTTTAAACAGTTAGTTGCCATCCCTGTTTTCTGAGCAACAAATCCATGCAACACAGATGCCAGGTCACGGCTCCCCTGGCTTCCTCCCTGATGCTTCACACCCTTCAGAGGTTTTAGAAAGAAAGTAACAGCAGAACAGGGAAGGCTGTGCCGAACCGCTGATCTCGTTTTGCTGATCTCCAAATTGCCATGTCCTGCAACCTTCAGTGGCTAAAGGAAGCATGCCACTACGCCTTTTAACTCACTTTATTTTCCCGGCAGTGCTGCCCCTCTGCCCAGGGGAAGCTTAGGTCCCTTGGATCTCCTACCATCTCCACTTTCTTGTGGCACAAGGTGGGGACTTCCTTTTCTTTCTGTGTTAAAACGTGCAAAACGATGGTTCTCAAGGACAGCGTCACCTCTAAACCACGTGGTGCTCTGGAGGAATGTTCAAGATAACTCCCAATTGGATAGGAATAACTGAATCAAAAAGCTTCAGCCTGCTCCTACCAGCTCGGAGTCCATCCCCCCAGGCATGTCCCCAGGGCACAGCCCGTCTCTCTGCAGGCTGACAGTGTTGTGCAGGGCAGCTGTGCCTCTGGGCTGGACCTGGGCTGGGTGCAGGCAGAGGACAGGCTGGCATTGCTGCTGCCATGGCAGGCGAGGGAGGCTCAGCAGCAGGGTTCCTGGCTGGCTGGAGCTGCCTTTTGAGGGCCACCAGCTGCATATCCCCTGTACCACAGTGCTGGGGATGAGATGGAATGAGATGTGTGGGAGCAAAAGCAGCCTGTACTCCAAGCACTGTGCTGTGGGTGCTGGGTGATCACCATGTTCATGCTCGTAATCCCACTACCAGCTTGTGGACAGTGACTAAATAACCCCAGAGGCAATTTTTACCTTTCACAGCACACGAGCTCTTTTTCAGCAAGATGACGTGGCCCTTGGGAGGTTCCGGCACGGCTGCTGAAAACCACTGCTTCCTTCCCCTCTCCCCTCCAGCTCCACCCTGTCCCGTTCCCTGGGGCAGCCGGCTGATCTCCCCAGTGCTACCTCCAGCCCCTGATAAATATACCAAGTCTCCATTCCAATTTTGTGCTCCCAGTCCCTTGCACCCCCAGGTGAAGGACCTGGATGGAAAAATGTGGCCTGGATAATACCTGCTAAATGCACGGAGAGGTCTCAGTGTGGCATAAGGCTGGGGAGGAGTGTTTCAAGGCCCTTGACAGCACATGGTCATCACAGCTGAGCAGCACTTGGGCACGTCACTGTTGGTCCCACTCCAGGCAGAGGTGTTGGAGTAAAGGGCAGGGATGTGGCTACCCATCTCTCACGTGATGATTTCTTGTTATGCTGGGGAATGTACCTGGCTATTTTCCAAAGGATGCTGGAAGCTTTCTGAAAGCAAATACATGTGCTCCATCAAGAGTGATGCTACCTCTCTTCTTCCAAAGGGGAGAGAGGTGAGCCCCAATTAATCAATTAGCACTGATTAACCAGGAGGAAGAGGAAAGCTAGCTCAGATAACATATCCCTGCACACTGAGTAGCAGAGCAGAGGGTGGTTCAGGTCAGGGTGCTTCTCAGTGATAGCCTTAGACACATGGGGTAAACTGTTCCTGGCTGCTTTTAAGTAGAGTAAGCATGAAAGCATCAGGGCTGGGCAGGGTTGCCCTGGGGGAGGAAGGGATGGGGAGCAGGGGCAGAGGGCCAGGGTCAGTGAGGCACAGTCACCCCATGGGCTTGCAGATTGCAGGCAGCTTGCAGGGCTGCCTTTGGGACATACCTAAGTTCTCCCTTGTTCTCAGACATTTGTACTTTATCACTTTGATTCCTGGTTTTCAGCATTCTGACCTGCAGAGTGGCAAAGGCAATGCTGCAGCCCCAGGTTTGCTTGGTTGTTTTCAATGCTGCATTGCAAACAGACCTCAGAGGTTCCTGTCTGTAGTGCAAAACCACAGGAGCTCCTCCAACCTCAGGTCCTCAGCCAAGCTCCCAGAAATCCGAGTTGCCTCTGCAGGTCTGGCCCCATTTGTTGGGATGTATCAGATCCACTTCCTTACAGACTAACAGCTGGGATGCACTTCTCTTCGGCAGGGAACTCTGCTGTATTTTGTCCAGTTGAAATTGATGCCATTGCTGGAGGAAGGTGATGGCTGCGTGGGTGAATGGGACCTGACTGCACTCCTGAAGAGACTCATGAAGGAATATGGGCAAATCCACTGCCTGCCCAGACTGAGACACCTCTGAGAGCCAAATTTTTATCCTTCACAACCTGAGCTTTGAGTGCAGCTGTGGCCCTCAGGTCCTTGGCTAAAGTCTTATTTTGCAAGGGAACGGCAGAGACAGACCTAGTGAAAGTGTCTTTCCTGTAATGGGGGAATCTTAAGGTGAGTTCAGCATTTGCTGAAAGGAATAACCTGGTATCTCTTCTACACTGCCTTATGAACAGCACAGAAGTGCTTACTAATTTTAATACAGTATTTTGTCACGTCATTATTAGTGGGAGCAAAACTTACAGCTGTCAGTGAACTCTTGAGACACTTGTAATCCCTCGTACCTCCAGCAGAAGTTGCCCGTACCCAGCACCTCGGCAGAGGCAGCCTGAGACAGCCCTGTGCAGCCCTTCCTTCCCCAGCGTGCCGGGCTAAGGCTGCTCGGGAAACCTGGGAAGAATAACACGGTGTATTTGCTGCAGTATTTTAAGCACAAAGACATACCAGGCTATGATTATCTTCCATGTGGATGTGAACACATGGAACATAGTGTAATTTATGGTTATGTTAACACTGCAATGCATGAGCTGCTAAGGTGGCTGAGGATTGAATGTCAGCAGCAGCCTGCAGGTTGGATTGCAGCAGGCATTGAAGTTTGAGGGATGCTCAAGGGCAGGTTCCTCTTGATCCTTTGATCTGCATGGCATTTGGTGAGGTCTATGTGGAGATGGTCATCTCACCCTCTGTTTTCAGCGGGATAGATTGCCCTGGGCTTCCCCAGGAGTGTAATAGGCAGGAGTGGGTGGGGACTGAGAGCAAGTCACAGGAACAGTCCTTGCAGTGCTGTGTGTGCCTCAGCCTAATGAAAGCCTGATAATTAGGATTGCCATTCTCTTTATTTTTAATTATGAGGTAGCACTTTATTGTGGAGGGCAAAAGTAACCCTGTAATTAGCCTGTGTGATTACTCAGTGATTAGCCAGTCTCTGATGCTGCAGACACTCAGGAGAACCCTTGGCAGGCTGTCACAGGTCTATGTGGGTTGGACGGGACCCTTGGCAAAATTTCCCCATCCTCCTGCTGAGGCCAGGCACAGACCAGGCAGGGATGAGGACAGCATGAGGCTCCAAGCACAAGTGGATGACCTCTGGCAGTGAGGTACAGCCATCCAAGAGACTCTGGCTCAGCTTCTGTGGGCTGCTGAAGCCTCATCACCCCACATCCCCAGTGCACTGAATCCAGCTTCTTTCACCGCACAGGCAGAGGCTGGGTCTGCCAGCTCCAAGCCCCAGCCACACTGACACCCCACGCTCACTGGGAGCAGCCTCCTAGGGCATTGCTGAGCACTGCAGTGACAGCAACATCCAAATGGTTGAGGGCATCAGCCGAGAAACTAATGTGTTTATAAAACAAATTGTTTAAGAAAGAAAGAATCGAGGGGTGCAGAAGGCTGCTGTGAGCAGCCCTGTGCTTCTCAGCCATCTGGCCCTAGTCCATGTTGGTCCCTGGGGTTGTTCCTCCCCAGGAGCAGAAGATGGCATCGCCTCTGCCCGGGCAGGTTGCAGCCTTGCCTGCCTCGCTTGGATCTGAAGGACCAAAAAGTTTACGTGGTCACTGCAGCGAGAGCCAAAGGGGCTTCACTGGGCACGAGGGAGGAGAGCTGTCCATTGGTGAAGGGAGTGGCTTGGCATCAAGTGGCTGCCCAGTGCCCTGCAGGCTCATAGCTGGGCTTAAAACATGCTGAATGGGTTAATTTTTCCTTCTGCTGACAAGCCCATGGCAGGTGGAAACCCTGTTCTCAGCTCAGCCTCCACTGCTGCCTGCACCCCACACTCTGCTGGGCTCGCGTGGGGGTTTCTCGTCCCCTTCTCTCACCCCCGCCACGTTTGCTTCTTTAGCTGAGCCATTCTGGGGGCTGGCTGGTATTTCAGTCACTGAAGAAATTAGTAACTGATTTATGTAACATCTCGCGTGACTGACTGCAGGGTCTTCACAGAGATGCAACCGCGAACAAGTACGCTATGGGCAGAGTAAGAAAAAGCGGCCCAGAACCTCCCCCACAGTGAACCGTGGGCCAGGCCAGATGCCACTCCACTGTCTCGCAGTGGCACCTGTACCTGTGCACCGTGGCTGTGTCCTGTTTCACCACAGCTCAGCTCTGCAGGTGAGGGCCAGCAGCCACGTTACCGTGTCCTTCCCAGGGCCAGCCAGAGCAATTTCCTGCCTTGAAAAAGTGCTTCTTGTCCCCTGTTTGTACAGGTCTCAGGCCAGGCCCCATCCCAGCAGCTCAGCACTCAGCACCGAGTTGTCTCACCCAGGGCCCATTCAGGCTGGCGTCACCTGCCAGCAGCACCTCTCCTGCCACCTCTGCTCGGGTGCATCGATGCCCAGCAGACGGAGGAGGCTGCATGCTGCCAGGCAAGCTGCATTTCAGCAGCAGCTGGGTGCTGTCAGCTCTTGCTCCTCCTGGCTCCCTGCTGAGACTTTGGTGTCTGTCTCTTACCTCCAGTCATTGGTGCTCATGGTGGGGCAGGAGAGATGGTCACCCCACACATGTATGGGGAAACCTTGGCAGAGCAGTGATGGGACACTGGATCTCAGTGTTCCCTGACTCTCCAGGGGTTGAAGCTTTCAGCTTGGATGGTCCAGGGGCTATTTTGAGCATGTGTGTGTCTCTGGACTGCTGGTGGCAGACCTGACATCCCCGTGCAGGAATGGAAACTCCACTGGTTCAGCAGGGGTGGGCAGGAAGGCTGAGCAATGTGCCAGCATCCCTCTCAGCAGCTGTGATTCAGTAGTGAAGTCTAAGCAGGAAATAACAAAGAAATGCTTGCAAATTAAAAGTGCTTTTGATGTGAATAGAAACGGTTATAACAATCTGGATTTTTTTCATGTAAATAAGGCTCAGAAAATGTGTTTTTTCAAACTGACATGCAGCCAGCTCTAGTAGGTGTACCCATCTCAGGATAAAAGGAACAGAAGCCGCTCACTTGATGAACCTGAAAGCTTTCTTAGAATTACAAAAGGAATAAATGATCTTAATAATATTAACTCCTGGGTGGTCACCTGAGTCTTTGTGAGCAGTATTCATCACATCCCAGACAGTGTAGTTTTAAGCTTGCACAAAAGACAACTTCAGATGTTCTCATGATCTCCTTTTCAGCAGTGTAAGTTATTGCTAATACTCAAATTTAATTCCACCATGAGCATGTCCATTTCAGTAATCCTTGGTGTGGGAAGACAACCACTGCCCTCGCCAGTGAAGGAGCGCCCTGTGGCAGCTTCCCTTGGCCTCTGCCGCAGCCTCAGCCCAGGAGCATCCTCCCCACCGGTGTCTTGGAGGGGGTCTGGTGGACAACAGCTGGTGAGAGGAGAGGAGAGGAGGGGCTGCAGGAGCTGGGACACTCACCTTTGCCACAGAAACAGCTGGACAGGAGACGTGGCCCTTCCTCGTGCCTCCTGCTGGTACCAGTCACGACAGTGCTACTTAGAGTGGCTCTCGCCCAAAGTCACGGCAGCTTAGCATGGCATAGGCCAAGCAGCTGCAATCCTAATGTCAGCTGTTGAAGCTGCTGTATGATCATGTTTATAAACAATGAAAAACAAAGTCTGGATTGTACTTTTCCTTCCAGAAGCGTGTTTTCAAAGGCAATTTCGCAGACTGTCTTTTGATCTCAGGTGAGGGATGCCACTAAATTTTGCCATACTGACATTGGTTCAGCAGCTGTTGCCAGTCTTCTTGATTCAGGAAATCATGGTTCTTCACCAAAGGACTTATTAAAATGCAAAATGATTTAGGCTTTTTTTATCTTACTGCACATGTACTTCAGGAATTTAGGAATATTAAGAACCCCCAGAGACTACTTTCTTCTCTCTGGTTACTATGGTTCATCTTGACAAGCAGCAACACCCCCACTTGCAGGCACCTGCTGGCAATGCCAGAGTTTTGGGGAGCGACCATGGCAAGTGGCAACAGCCCTGTGTTGTTTCTGGAAAAGGTGGTGGAGTCAGAGCACTGCAGTGGGGTTGTGGTGGGTGAAGTGTTTTAAGAAAAAACATCACATGGCAATAGAAACTGAATTAATTCCCCACTGTCCCTTTCCCATTCCCTCTCCTCCAACTGAGCTGGTAGGAGACAGCAAATGCTAGAAACTGTAAAATTCAGTTTATTCACCCTGGATCCTAGCCATGTACTGTGGAAAGATTCTCAAGTGAAAATGCAACAAGAAACACTGTGCCCAACATTCATAATCTAAACATATTGGTTGTCTCTGTACAAACCTTGCAAGGCCTCTGTCTCCAGCTTATCCTAGTTATCTCAGCACGCCCCTAAAATTATAATCCTGTGGCAAACATTAAGAGATCTCACCAGCACATTGTTTTCATCAAGTAACAATGCAACACAAGGATGAGATACATCCACTGATGAAAACCCTTTACATGTATTGTCTATGAACAGAAAGTTCACCTTCCTCTCTCCTTAGGGGAAAGCTAGATTTAGAAAAGTGCTTTTCTACTCCCTAACCTAGTTTCTTTTCAGGTATAGAAAAAACTGTAAACATTTTTAGGCTTAATAACTATTTATATCTTATACAGGAGTAGAGACTGTGGAGGGCAGGATCCAGCACTGTATGACCTCTGCTTCACACAGGAGTGGCTCATGGATGAATCAGCCCAGTTTAGGTCATAAATGCTCGCACAAAATACACCTTTGCTCCATGCGATGGAGAAGCATGTGGCTGTTGCAAGTCTGCAGGCTCAAGCTCTGCATGAAGGTTGTGGTTTCCTAATGGGCTGTGATCAGAAAGGGTGGTCCTGCACACTCCTGTTGCTGACACTGGTGTCTTTGTGCATAGGTGATCAGGGGCTCCATCCAGTAGAAAATACAGCTTGGTTTTCAGCTGCATCAGCTTTCTGATTGTGAAACCACACAAAGAGGTGCATAGGATAGCCCAGTCCTCCTGGGAAAGAAACACAGTAGAACTGTAAATCTTTCTCTCCAGTGTAAACTACAACTTTTGCCACGATGCTTTTGCTCTCCAAGTGCAGCTGCATGAGCTTCCTGCCTTGTCAAGCTTCCAATCCAGTTTCTCTGAAAGACACCAGCAAGGCCCCTACTGATTTCAGAAACAGCCAATTCCCCACTGGGGATGAAGCACATCACAGCAGCAAGGACCAGTCTCTCTGTGCCTGGCCTATCCCTGCTCCGATGGGCAGCTGCACAGGGGGACCACGGCTCCTTTTGCCTCACAGGGGAGAGGAGGTCAGTGTCCTGACATGCACCACTCCGAGCAGGTAGCATCAACATGCTGCAGACAGCTTTGAATTAACAAGAAAAACAAGCCCAGGTCCCATTTGCAGATTTTCTAAATGCTTTTTCTGCTTGAATACTTACTCTCCGCAGCATTTGGCTTTGCACGTGTGATAGGTTGAAATATCAAAGGTTTATTATCTGCACAGCTCCTCTGTTTATTCAGAGAGTATGATTTTGGTGAAAAACAGCTTTCTGAGGCCCTGGGGTGTCTGCAAGCACAGGGGCTGCCCTGCTCTGCTGCCCTCCTACCCCAGCCACATAAGCACAGAACTGAGAGAAAACTGCTTTCCCCACTGCTTGGCAGCAAGGGAACTTGTTATAAAAACAACAGGGTTAGGAATCTCCCTGCTCCTCAGACTGTCATATCCAGCCATGCAGAGGGTGCCCTTTCTGGGAGCTCCTTGTGCACACCAGCTCGGGAGTGCTGACAGAGCTGCCTGCTCCCAGGGACAGGGACCTTTAAACACATGGAGCCTGGCATTGGCATGGGGACAAAGGGCAGTGAACAAGGCTGCACGCAGGAAACAGAGCAGGCATGTGTAAGACACAGAGGGGCAGCTCCTCTGACTTCATCAAAAACATGAGTTCACTTGCCCACCAAAGGAGAGAAAGGCATCTCCAGGAAATCCCTGTGTCTGTTCCAAACAGGGTTAGTCACCCAGGTAAAATATCCCATTCTTTTGTGATGACTTTAGAGGGGGCCACAAGGACTTTTACCACCCTGCACATTAAAGCCTGCTCCTGGAGGCAGGTGAAGGGGACACTCCGCTTTCTCCATCTACAGTACCAAGTCCAAAGGTTATATGCTTTACAGTTTGTCACCGTGGCCTCTTTTATGCTTTGATGCTGAGGATACTGTCCAAGGGTCTTTGGGCTCAAAAATGCTCCATTAGGCTGGATGTGATGTTGAAATTGGGGAGCATGACATCTTTCTAGTATGTGACCTGCTACACCAGACACTTGCTGTCATGAGACAGATGATGATGCTGTCCTAATAAGCATGGCAAAACCAAAGATTACAGGTATTCTGGACAGAAAACATGTTGCTGCTCTTCTAAAAGAGATGGAGTTCATTATTTACTACAGATTCTACAGATGCACTGAACAACAGCTGAGAGCATAAACCCCCAGGGCATGTGTTTGCTATGCCCCCTCATAGAGCCCAGCACAGCATTTGCAGCCATTATCAACAGCACAAACATCTCCTGAGAGATTTCTCCTTTTCTCTCAGATAATTCTGCATCTTCTGGCAGTTCTGAGAAGCAACACACCCTTCTCTCAGTGCTCCTTCTGCAGCTACAGAATAGTCAGACTTCTGCCAAGCATCCTCAGGCTCTCCGCAGAGATGCAGCTGAAGGTGGGTGTCAGATACTTTCAGCAGTAGCTCTTAAGTAACTACAAAAATACTCGGGTTTTCACCAGCAACATAAGCAACATTTTCATTTTTTGAAAGCTAGATATTATTCTTGCTGTAATACACCACTGAAATTGCATTAAAGTATCTGATAACTTCTTGATCTGTTGTTTAGGGGTTTTTTGTGTTTTATCATCAGATGCATATGGTCTTAGCATAAGGAGTTTCAGCCTGTGACACAACTGGAAACCTTAGCACATGCCATATGATAGGAAAGATGTAATTAAAGAGGATCTTGTCACAAAAAATTCTATCAGAGTCCATTCTGTAGAGCTTGCAAGTAAAAGAAAAACGTATCATCAGAGCATAACAGACATTTCTTGAATCAAGAAAAGGTCATCTGGCTCATCCCTCTTGGACATCTCATGTTCTTGTGAAGGATACTTAACTGGTTTTTTAATTTGTTCCAGGAACCTTGTTAGGGAGTGTGATATAGCTTTTGCTCAGTATGTGGCATGAAGTCTGCTCCAAACTCAGCTTACCTTTCCTCAAAAATATCTATGATTTTGTTTAAGGTTTTAATCACATCTTGAAGTTTCTTGTTTGAATAATAAACATTTTAATCAAACATTTCAATTAAAAGATCTCTTACATGAATTTAAGTCAAATCTGGCAGCCCTGAAGACTGAATTCCATTCTTTAGCCAGGGAACAGGAGCAAGGCAGAATTTCTCTGCCAATGTCTCAGGTGTGACCTTTAGGGACAGCTTTCAGGGACAGAGAGAGTTTGGGCTTCTTTATTATCCTTCCAAGAAAATGTGAATTCCTACTATCAGCCAACAAAACCTGGAGAGCACCAGTGACAGTGTGACTGCAGCACAGAGAGAGGGTCCCCTTGGCTGGCCTTTAATGGGTGACCTGTGCCATCACCAGTCTGCACTGGACACCTGCAGGGAATCTTCAGCTCCTTGCAGGTTTATCCCTTGCAATGCCCTCCCAAGTGGAGGAAGAGCTCACAGGCAGGGGAAGGAGGTTGGTCACATCATCATCCCTGGTTCAAACAAACTGAATTCCTGGGGAACCATTTTGGAATATTGCATTACTAATGACAAAGATAGTCATAAACTTACACTCTCTCCCGACAGCTCAGAACTGGCTCTCCATTCCCCTGGTTGCTTTGTCATTCACACCATCAGCTGGGATGTTCATGTTCCAAAGCTTTAATGACCATAATGCCTTAACTGACTAATCTGCAAAAATGACCCGGGCGTTCCACTGTGCTAGCCTGCTGGGAAGGGAACTTTATGGCTTTGCTGAAATTTGCTCTGTGTTTCAGAGAAGCGAATCACAGACAGGGATGGAGCCCTGGGAGTACTTCTGTGGGCAGCAGCAGGTGCTGAACATGCCCATGGCCAGTCGAGGTGCTCGTGGAGACAGGAAAGCAGCACAGCTTAGGCCAGGTACAGAACCAAGAGAATGAGCTCTTGAACTTCTCCAGGGAAGAAAATTCCTTATCATTTTGCAACAAAATACCATGTATACAGTATTACCAGAAGAAAGTGAGCAGGCAATTCAGTAACTGGCTGCCTTGTTTCATCCACTTGATAAAGGAAAGGGAAGAAAAACACTGAAACTCAGAGATAAAAAATCCAGATTTTTTTTAGTCTGAGTAAAGTTTCTTCTTAAGACAACTTCTTAGCACAGCATAGCAACTTATTTTTCTCTTCTCGTTGTTATCAATCCCAAGTAGGATAAAGGAGAACGTGCCTCATGAATCACTGTGG